GCCTAAAGTGAAGCATCTGGACTAAAGAAAACAACAAATAACGTTCAACTCTCATCCCTACTATATTCCTGAATCCATACTCAAACCCAACAAGGAAATGAAAGAACCATAAAGGACTGGAATAATAATGAAAATACTTTTTACATCTATGGTTAGTAAAACTTGAACTATTGCCAACTATACCAGCCCCTCTCTCAACATCTACATAGCTAGCTGATCAAGCTGTCTTCAATTATTTACTAATTGTAAACTGCCAGCTCTACCTCTGCATGGGTAGAGCAACTAGGCACACAGGAATCAGGAAGCAAAAAGCAATAAGAAATCAAAGAGGAACTGTACCTTGCTCTTTTTTTTTTTTTGTACACATTTGAGAAGATTTTTGAACAGCATAAATTGAGAAGGAAAAGCATATTCTGTTCCTATTATCTCTACTTGCTTTGACCTCAGTGTGTAGAAAGGCAGTTACACTGTTTAGATTCAGGACACTGGGATGTAAATGAAATTGGACATACTTTGTTTTATGTGGTTCTAGAACAACTGTCCTTTGTGCCCAAAGGAAATGTGTGATGACAAAATGGCACTCTGGACAATCTGAAGTATACTCAACGAGGATAACGGACTTCCACTAACGTGACATGAATGAATGCACCCAACCCTGGGAGGAAAGTGGAAAAAGTAAGGTAGGGGCAGACATTAAGTTTCTTTCCTAATTATAAAATAAACAAATTGACTCAAACAGCCCTGCACTACTATCTGGATTAGTGGTGGTTCACAATGTGAACCAATCATGACGTGGAATGTATCACTTTTCACCAGATACAGCTTCCCGAACATTGTCAACACCTATTCTCAGACAATGACACAGCTACTGCTAAACCCTGATACCAACCAGGGATTTTATATTTAATGAGCCCTCAAGGGCCAGAATATAGATGAAGAAAGTCAAATTCAGATGGTACTAAAGGTTCATTTCCACGCCTCCCTGAAAATAGCATAGCAAAAGCTAGATCAATAGACCTGAGTCAGTGCCAATAAAGAACAGGCTGAGACCAGAGACTGAACTCTAGAAGGTAACTCCAGGTTACAAAGACAAACTTCCCAGCACTAGAGTTCTCTTCAAAATAGATCAACCACTGCCAGGCCAATCATACTGATTTGTGGAATAACATGTGATCAATGAGTCAAATGCATGCTTTGCTATTTCTTTGCTTTGCCCCAATTTCTCCAATTTTCTATTTAAACCTTGTAGTGCTACCAATGTGTGTGGTGTAAGTGTGTGCATGTATATATGTATAAGCACAAATCCATATATGTATGTGTATACAATTTGCATGACACACGTATAGTTTAAGAGCATTACTCTCTAATCATCAAAGTCTGAGTTAGGTGCCTGGGCAGAAAAGAGGTAACCTAGTAATTCTGAGACTGCTAATCTTAGAAAGACCTGACTGCAAGGTAGGCCCATAACTAACTGGAATCTAGGAATTTGGATTTTGGGAGGGTTCTCACCATCCCCCAATCACATAAGAGTGAGTGGCTCACTGTGCTTAAACTGTACAAACAATGTGGTATATGCTGATCACCTACTTTCCCTTGGGGAGTCTGGAATTTTGCTACGTGCAAAGAAGAATATGCTTATATAATCAGCCCAATAAAAACTCTGAGCACTGAGTCTCTAATAAGCTTCCTTGGTAGACAACATTTCATACATGTTGTCACAACTCCATGGTGGGGGAATTAAGCATATCATGGCAAGGAAACTAAAAGAAAAAATGAACATATGGGACTACATCAAACTTAAAAGTTTTTTTACAACAAAGGATACTATCAACAAAACAAAAAGGAAGCCTACTGAATGGGAGAAGATATTTGTCAATGATATATCTGATAAGGGGTTAATATCTAAAATTTATAAAATACTCATTCAACTCAACACCAAAAAAACAAACAACCCAATTAAAAAATGGGCAGAGGATATGAAGAGACATTTTTCTAAAGAGGACATACAGATGGCCAACAGGCATATGAAAAAATGTTCAACCTCACTAATCATTAGAGAAATGCAAATTAAAACCACAATGAGATACCACCTCACTCCGGTCAGAATGGCTATCATCAATAAATCAACAAACAACAAATGCTGGCGAGGTTGTGGGGAAAAGGGAACCCTGGTACACTGTTGGTAGGACTGCAGACTGGTGTAACCATTATGGAAATCAGTATGGAGGCATCTCAAAAAACTGAAAATGGAACTACCTTATAACCCAGCAATTCCACTCTTAGGTATTTATCCAGAAAAACCCAAGACATTAATTCGAAAAAACATATGCACCCCTATATTCACTGCAGCGCTATTCACAATAGCCAAAACTTGGAAACAACCGAAATGCCCATTGGTAGATGACTGGATTAAGAAACTATGGTACATTTACACAATGGAGTATTACTCAGCTATAAAGAAGAAGGAAATCATACCATTTGCAACAATATGGATGGAACTAGAGAACAATATGCTAAGTGAAATAAGTCAGTCAGAGAAAGACAAATACC